ATAAATATATTCTCAAGTAAGACATTTGTTTCCATTTATACAACTTACAATTCGGTAATAAACAACAGATGGAAAAACAATATCCAAATTCTCTTGTATAAAACATCTTGTGAATGCCATCTCTTTATTTTATAAAAGCAGGCCAATATCCAGTTCTATAAGAGTCGTTAAAAAGTATGGATAACAACAATGAAGAAATAAAAGTAGAAATAACCAACTGCAGCTTAGTTAAGTGATATGAAATATAGTGCTAGCTTCTGAATATTAAGCTGAAAGCTGTTTAATTCCAGGTGAATCCCACTGTGTATATTCAACACGAAGCTAGAATTTTCAAACCTCTTCTGTAGAGAATGGGTGGAGATATGCAAGAGTCTTTTTTTGGGCAGAAAAAGGAAAGAAAAAATAAGCAAGCCAATTTGTTCTCTCTCTCAAAAATCAGATTCACTGTTCACTCATCTCTGTCAAACCCCTCCTTCCAGCTATCTGTTGGTCAGGGACAGTTCTGGTCTGGAAACCTAAACCCGAAGCAGTGATAAGGATAACAGCGCTGGGGCTTCTCCTCCCCTCCCTCCTCGGAGCAGGTGCTTCCCTCCCTTCTGAGCCCTCCGCAGCACTTGGGGCTTTCTCCTGTGCATCGGACGCCCACCGCTGCTTTGCTGATCGCGCTGCCCCAGGTACAGGCAAATTAAGCAACTGTTCGAGGCAGTAGCTGGGAAGGCAAAGATCCATGTCCGTGCTGCCTGAGGTACCCATGGGAAACCTGGTTTATGGCGTATCCCCAAAAGGTGGGGTGGGTTGGGGGGGACAGATGGGCATGACTGTACCTGCTCTCAGGGGAACTGGGGGCCAGAAGAGGGAAAGCTGCTGCAGCTGGGGAGCAGGCTTGGTGCAAGTTGCTGCAGCCCAGCTTCTATGGCGCAGTCCCCTTGCTGGGAGCAGGTCTCCTCCCCTCCCCAGCTGAGGGCTGAAGGTCCTTGTGGACTTTGCCACTCTTGTGACACTTGGATCTCCTGCTGGTGCCCCTACTTGAGGCCTGGGTTCTCTCCCTGCAATTGCAGAGGTGCTAAAGTTTGGCATGCAAAGGATTTGTCCTCGCCTTTGTGCAGTGCAATCCTGTTTCACCTCTGCTACTAAGTAGTCTTAATCCCGTGCAGTGAAGGACGTGAACCGTGCCCTCTTTAGTTTACCGAGGACAGATTGGAAGACAATTTGATTGTGGTGGGACAAGCAGTATGGTACCATGAAGCTCTTGAACTTGTTGGTATGAAATGCAGCCACTGGAGCCACCAGAGACTCGGGACAACTTGCTATTGAAACACTTCAGTTTGTTGCAGAACAAAATGGCAGCAGTTTAGCACTGAAGGTAGGATGGCTTGGTGAACCACAAAATATCCATTGCTTAAATTAGTAATGTTAACAACTATCTATCTAGGTTTGGTGTGGATTTTCTTTTGTTTGCTTTAATGTTTTGCATTGTTAAGCTGGTTCCTGAATAGCTGTTATTCACTGCGTATTCTTGTGTTGGATGAAGATGTAGTTACAGCAGGTGTGGTGTTGCTGCCTTTCAACGGGTATTTTCAGCCCCACACTGTTGTAATTATACTGATCGTTTAGTGGATGTTGATCAGAGGTATTGAAGGACAGAAGAGGATATTATTGCTTCTTACTACAAGGTTGTGACTTGTTTCACCGAAGGCAAACGTGGACAGTGTTTAATAGCTCCAATGTTGCTTTTCATTCTTTTCCCTCATTCTCAGAGTCTCTGGGTGACGGTCACAGCTGATCCTTGCCCTGCTGAGAGAGAACTTAACATACAGAGTGAGTTTTTCTTACTGGATTTTGAATGCTCTTGAATACTGTTGATTGGTGGAAAGGAAAACTTCTGCAGTGCTGTACTGCCTCCCGGTGGCTTTTCAGTTTATTTCCTAAAATATTGTATTAGAATGAAAAAATCGCTTTGATGTATAGCGTAACTAACTAGAGTATTTATGCTTTTCCTTTCATTCCAGTGCAATGGCTATGGCCACGAGCACCAGCAGCAGCTGGCAGAGGTGCCTGGGATGGCTGGCCTGGGGACAAGTTTCTGCCCTGCCAAGCTGGCTGCCCGCACCGCCACCTGTCCCTGGGGCTGTAGCTATTTTCTTCCCCGCACCCCTCTTCAACACCTGTGTCTCCATCCTTTACTCCCTGGAGCCCTGCCCGGGTGGATCGGGTGCCGGCGGCTGGCCGTCCCCAACCCAGCGTGTCTGTTCCTGGCACGCGCGGGGCAGTGGCATGCCCTGACCCCCTGCCACCCAGGTGGGTAACCGGAGCACGATGAACCTGCTCAGGCGGGGAGTCTGCGTGCCTCTTCCAGCCCCTTGGCTGCTATTTTGGTAAGCTGTTTCTCCCTGCCCCAGTGAAGATGTGACCCTTCTCAGCATGGATGTATAAAAACACCACAGTCATCACAGGATCAAATTAGCATCTATCTTAACAGCGGGGCCCCCCCAGCAGCCCAAGAGGTGCTGTGACCACCAGGAGCACCCCTCGGTCCAGGCAGCACCACATGGGTGATGTGCCCAGCACGTGAGGTAGTGCGTGGGTGGTGCAGGGGACCCCCACGATGCAACCTGGACAAGGACTGCGCTCAGGGCTGCCTGTCAGTAGGGCCCCTGGACAAGTAGACAAGGGTGGGAGGGGGTCCCAGGTGGGGCTGGTCGGGGCCACCTGTGCCCACTAGTGCCCCCGGCCAGGACAGGCACAGGCAATGGTCCTGTGTGACCTGAGGGTCGTCATCCATCATCTGCTAAACGTGTTCCAGTCAGGCTCTGGGTATGACAGCCCTTTAGGCAGTCCATCTTAGAGAGCTGCATGTAGTTCATTGAAATGATATGCAAATTACCATCCCACAAAACAACTGAAGGAAAAATTCAAGGCAGCGATGGGGTGAGTGAGGTGGGAAGTGTCCCCGCTGGTACGTATGGGTGACCTGCAGGAGTGGTACTGCAGCTGGTAGAAGAAAGTGGCCCATGTTTTAAAACTGCAAGGATTTTTTTTATTCCAGAGAATTAAAATCATAGACACAAAAGAAATGTAATGATTGATACATAAATGTAATAAGCTTCTAGCACTCTTGCATTTCACTGACAAAAACTCCCAAATGAGAGTTAACTTTCCAGAGTGTGATGTGATATAAGGCGCTTCTGTACTCCTGCTTTAGGGCTGCACCCTAACTCTGAGCCCGAGGACCCCAGTACAGCTACTGAACCTACGCTAACAGACAAGGGAAAAGACTTATTTTGCAATAAGTCAGATACTAATAACTTTACCCAAATCAATTATTTTTTTCTCTAGAAATAGATCCTATTGACAACAGCAGCCTTAAATGCGGTAAGAGGATTGTGCTACAGTCTTTGATCAATTGTTTGTTTAGGTCTTATATTTTGGACTATATTATTATTAAGGGCTGAGTCAGAACCAGGTTATACTCAATTATTTCCCATTTAGGCTAGATAATACTTTTTTTTGCTGGACATTCTTGCAAATGCTTTCTGCTATGAAGAGGTTTATTTCCTGGTGTGTTTTCCCGAAACAAGCAGTTTCCTAGGGGTCTGTTAGAGCAGAACTTGGTTGAGCTGGATGATTCTTTCACAGTAATGCTGTGAGACTGCAGTAAGTGGAAATGCAACAGGAGTGGAACAGAGGTGAGGAGGTACTGCTGTTACCAACAGAATAAGTTATAAGCCCACATATTTCTTTCTTCCAAACCACAGCTTGAAAATTCAATCTGATGTCGCAATACTTATTTTTAGCAGGGCTGATTTATTGAGGTAGCAGGTCAGTGTCTGAGCTAGTTTATGCAAGTCTTTCCATGGCTGTGCAATAGGCAGTGACAGGCAATGCCACCCGCCATCATCTGTGTCATGGAGCACATGGCTGTGGCTGCAGAGGATGCTGGCTCTGGGCAGGGCTATGCTTCGATTGCTCTTCTTTCCATTGCAATTTTAACCCTGGCTTTACTCCACTTAAGTTTACATTAATTTTTTTCTTTCCTTATTTTTTTGAGACGCCAGTAGCTTGGAATATATGAAAATGCAGAAGATAGGAAGGAAGGGCACGCTGCATGACTCTTGTTGGTATGCTATATGCAGGAAGAGCAGCAAAACAAAGTTTCTTTGCTTTAGAAAGCAGTGAGTAGCGGGAAAGTATGTGATGCAACAGCAAATTGTCAGTGGTGGGTGCTGGTGCAGGGCTCTGAAAAGCAGCAGCAGTGTGGAAGCTAGATATTGGGGTGTAACACCAAGCGTAATTGCTGCATGGAATTGATCTGGATTTTAATGTTCATGTGTTTCATTTGGCACCCCATCCCCCTGTTTGAGAGGAGTCTTGTGCTGCCTCTGCTGGTCCCTTCTACTGAAAGGGCTCTAATAAAATTGGCATGATGTGGGCACTTCCATATGGAAGTTGATGCTTTAGGATTGCCTTGGGCAAATGGTGATTTCAATTTATTATTCTTTTTATCCAGTATTACTGTGAATTAGTGTAGGTTGCTGTGGTGGTTCACTGGAGGGCAGGAGGACTGGCTCTGCCAGGAGATTAGATGTTGGTATCTGAAGGCTAAGCACTGTGAGCTCTTGCCTAATCCGAAGGTGAACCTGGGGCAAGGATACTGCATAGCACGTGGTCTAACTGCACGCTTGCCAGTGCTGAAACAGCGAGTGGTGGTCGCGCAGAGCAAGCTGTCCTGAGAGCTCCTGTTGCTCCTGGGGAGGGACAGAGGGAGGACAGGGCTTTGTCCTCCATTCCTCTTCACCGGGCTGTGCCTTCTCTTCTCCTGTTGCCTAAAATACAGCTCCTTTATCTGTGTTTTGCCTTGCAGCCTCCAAAGCCAGCCCCTGAGAAACGGGCAATCTGAGCTACAGAAAAGAGAAGATGGGGTTTGCTGATCTGCTTGTCCAGCCCCGTGTGTACACACATGTTAGTGCATGTGTGCCTGCTGGGAACACACGTTCAGAGCGATGGCGTTTGTCTTCCCAAGTAACCATTACGCGTGATGGAGCCCTGCGTTCCTGCAGATGGCTGAACACCTGCCTGCTGATGGGAAGCAGTGAATGAATTCCTTGTTTTGCTTTGATTGCATGCGTGGCTTTTGCTTTACCTATTAAACTGTCTTTATCTCAACCCACGAGTTTTCTCACTTTTACTCTTTTTATTCTCTCCCCCATCCCACTGAGGGGGGAGTGAGCGAGCGGCTGCGTGGGGCCTGGTTGCCAGCTGGGGTTAAACCACGACAGGCCCCACGCTGGGCACCAAAAAGGGCCGTCGGATCAACACTGTCTCCAGCACAAATCCAAAACATAGCCCCATACCAGCTACTATGAAGAAAATTAACTCCATCCCAGCCAAAACCAGCACATGGGGAAAGAAAGACTCAGAGTAAAATCTTTACTGATTATTAAGGGCAGCTTTTTTGCACTATACAAAAAATTTAACTGCTTTCCCTTTTTCATTTGGAAAAGTTGAAAAAAAGCAGGGAAATATTTTCAGGTACATAACGTTTTCAGGTATCATAACAACCACACATGAAAAAGATCCTAGGCTATTGTAATAAATTATGATTCATTTATCATCACTGCAAATCAGCTCCAATTCAGAAATAAGTTTCACCATCATGCGAGAGCTCAGTCCCAACAAAAGCCATGGCCTGTCTACCCTTCTCTGGCACTTATCTGTGCCTGGCAGCACTGCCAGGTGGAGTTAAACCATGACAAAGAAATAACTCGAATTTCAATTGAGCTTTTTACTTTTTCAGTTTATCTCTAAAGCAGGGCTCTAGGTGCTGCAGCCATTCTTTTTACCTCTCCTTCTGTGTGCCTGTGCTTGTAGTGTTTCCTCAGTGGAATTATTACCTATTTCCAAGTCCACCCTGTGCAGAAGTGGTTGCTTCTGGGACATGCAAAGAAATCTCCTAATCCTGAAAATAATGGCAATTAAATCTGATTGTTCAAATATTAATCACAAACCCTGTAAAAGATTTTTTTTTGTCAAACCTGTTATTGCACAACTGCTTTGGTGTGTTAGTACAAGACGAAGGGCGTGCTTTTGCCAAAGCAGGAGGTGCTTGTTATTGCCTGCGAAATGAGTGGGTTACATGCTGCTGCAGTCCGATCTCGTTGGGTATCTCTGTAAGCTGGGCTGTGTTTGAACAGCTGCATTATGAAGCAGCAGCTAATAGCTCCCAAGTATTCATTGCATCTTCTTGCATTTGAATGTCACTTTGTGGCAGCCCTCGGTTCACAGGCCATGTTCTGTTCCTTATTTTTCGTTGCTGCCAAATGCAGGACAGGGTGATGGGGGTGTAGTAGCTTCGATGTTTAATCTGGAGTTGAAGTACCAGCTTGGTAAACTCTGAGTGGCTGAAAGCATCGCTGAAGAAACATGTTTTCACGGGAGCAGCATGACAGAGTAACCTCTGCCCCGGGTGATCACCCCAGAAATCACCTCCTGGCTGGGATTAACAAAACACGGGATTAACTTTGCCCTATGCGTGTGTGCTGGCTTGTAGCTGTTAAGAGTCTGCGAGAGTGCTTAATCGGTCAGTCTGGGAGGAGCTGTGCCTCTTCCTCGCCTCTGCCCTCATTGCTTACTCCATCTACGCCCCCATCCCCGAGGACCTCGAGGACCCCTGCAAAGTGATGCTCATTGCGACTGCCTTCAGGACTGCCAGCCTTCTGGTGAGTTTGGTGCTGGGCTTGGTGCAGGGCTGGCCTGGTGGAGAGACAGCTACAGAGCAGAGGGCATTCTCAGTGCCGCTATGGCTAATAGAGATATGGCGATATATACGTGTCATACATATATAGATATATATCTGGTAATACACTAAGTGAAGGACAACAGTATCTGAAATTAAGCATTAAACTTAGTGTAACTATGGCTATAAAGAAACTTAGATTTAATTGTGCAATCTTGAAAAAAGGACACTCAGAGTAACTCGAAATGTGATATGTAGTGTGGATATGGATAGATAAGTGGAAACAAGTTTATTTTGCTTTACAGTCCTTTGCAGCTGAAGCACCGCTCCTTGAATTTTTCCTGTTTCTCAGAACCTGTATATTGAGCTTCCTCAGAAGTATTGTATTGGGTGTCAGAGAAGGGGAAACTAGACCACTTCTTAAAAACTGTTTTTGTGGTTTCATAGGAATCTGCTGACAGCATGAGCCTAAAAACTACACAAAGCTAATTATAGGGATGACAATGCTAGAGCATGTAGAAATTGAGATATATATGAAAAACTTTTTTTAATACCACTGTAATCTTGCCTACCAAAAAATGGTATCTAGCTAAGCAGCACAGAACCATATGTCACAGTCTGGAAAGGCAGTGGTATTATACCCCTATCTGTAGTTATATAGCAATATTTACCAACAGTGTGGTCCTTATGTCTTCCCATGCTATTTTTATATATATTACATCCCTGGCTTCTGCTTCATTTCAGTCATTTTATACAGCCATTTCAAACATACGTAAATAATCTGTGAGGCTGCACACCATGCATAAATAATAGTGCTGTAGTTCCCACCTTGTAAGTACATTCGACTGGAAGCTGTTTTGAATCCAGCCTGTACGTAATATACAATGGTGGCTGCAGCAGTGTAACCAAAACCTAAAACCAAAGGTCGAAGGTGAAGGTTTGGGGGGCAGGAGAGGGGCTGAGTGTTGCAGACATCTTTCTGGGTGGCTACAAACATTTTGAGACTGCTTTTTTCTTCACTGTAAAACATATTGAAAGGAGGGTCTAAGGAGCCAGGAGAGAGGTTTCTAGTTTTGCTTGAGGGATGCAGCTGAAAGGCTTGTCCGCTGCGGGCACAAACACCCGGGCTGTTTGCTCCGAAGTGTACGAGTTTGGGATTTTGCCTTTTCTGTTGTTTCAGTTAAAGTGCGGTGGGTATGGTTTTCAAAATCTGAGAGCCACCTCTTTTATGATTTTGCTGGTGGAGGCAAGGGTGCATGTTTTCTTGGGATGTCTCCTAAACATCACACAGTATCTAAAAGCCGTTGTCGATCTCTAGAGCCATTCCCGCGTCAGACAGCCTGTGGTTGCGGTGGAGACCTCTTCTTGGGTCTGTACAGCCAGCAGAAGGAAGGGGGGGTGGAAGATTTTTTTTTTTTTTTGTCTATGTGTGTTAATTCATGGACTATTTGCTGCTTCCTCGTTTGTTTTGATCTTCTGGTTTGAGTTCTGAGTGGTGGGAGATGAAGTGGTGAGAAAGAAACTGTAGTCTTTGCTTTTGATGTGCTACCTTGCTTCTTCTCCTCTTAAGTCTCCTCTTGGAGGTAGCCTGCAAGGAGAGCGTGTGCACAGATAACTCATTTCCCCAGGAACACCTTGTGCCTGCTCGCTAGGACCTGTAGCCTTCAGCACGGCAGTGCTAAATACTCAACAAGCAGAAGCATTTTCTTTCAGTGTTGGAGGATTATGTGTTTTTGCTTTAAAATGGAGTTAGTGTCTTTCACAGCTGTTGCATTGGCTGCCTGTTAAGCCTAAGTCTGTTAGCAGCAGCTGTGGTGTGGAGCAAGCGTGTTTTGTAACTGTGCTCTGATCTCATGCAGAACCATAATCCTAAGGGACTCTGACAAAGACAGCCTCCCTGGAGCTGCACTGGTGCAAATTAGATTTGAGATGGCTCTAAGGCGTCCTAAATACGTTCTGAACTGTCATCTGATTATAGGGCAACAATTTATAATCACTTAATAGTAAGTCTAATTTTGCAGAGGGGACCCTAGTTTAGTCTTTCTGACTCCTTGACGTTGGTTTGAAAGAAAGGTAAATAATACTGCCATGGTCAGACACTCCTGACCAGGAGGGTCTTCTCTTCAAGCTCCCAAAACAACATGCCAAGAAAGCCATGAAATGGCAAATTCTATCCTTCATCTTCTGTGCTTTAATAGGTCCTGGGGAGCTCTCCAGCTTCTGTGCCAAACTGTGCGAGATTTCCTTTGATTTCGGGTTTCCTGGCCTGGACGAGTAACTGGTTTGAATAAAAGGCTGCTTTCAAAGTCTCTGCCAGGCACGGCAGTGAGTGCCGAGGGGCTCCAAAGGCCGGTCAGAGGCTCGTGGTTAGATCTTGCCATGGGTTAGCCTGCAGGGGATTGCAGCCATGCTTGGTTTTGCTGGTGTGCCCATCCTGCGGTGTGCTGAAGAGTCCATTTGTACCCATCTTATTGCAGAAGGGAGACTGGGAATGTCTCCATTCGCATGTTCATGTTATAATGTCTCAGGTCTATATGTTGTCTAGCTGGAGGACAGCCTCCAGCTAAAAGAATAAACCAGCCAGTTTCTGTGGTGCTTAAGCACAAAATTCTTCATGTATTTTCAGTGCACACAGTCTAAGATAAAACATATGAAGGAAGTATAAAATGCAATACATCTTTCTTCCTAGCTGCATGTTTCCCTGGCTGCAGTTCTGTGAAATCCTCCCAAAGCTGCTTCCATCCGTCCTCTCTCTCGCTCTCCCCTCACGAGCAGTGAAATCCAGATTCGAGCCCTTTACAGCCCCACTCACTAACTGCCTGTCTTTATCTTCAGCTGACAGAAAGCTTCACCTGGAGGGGTGCCTCTGTCTGAACTATTGCCTGTTCAGATAAATAAGCTGCTAAAAGCAGTGTCAGGCTCTCTGCCTGCCAAAGCATAGCTGGGGCTCCCTTCCTCATAAATAGGTTTTTCTTTTTTTCATCTTTCCTGCCATGCTCCCCTCATGGAAGACAGAGAAAGTGACTGTGGAAAATGCTTTCCAAAGCACAAGGAATAAAAACCCCCAAGTGGTTGGTTTTCCTCTTACCCCTGTAACATGCAGTAATCTCAGATCTGGGACAATGAGACTTTTCAGATGAGGGTATGATTTCCTTTTATTTCTATATGGTAATGGCCTTGAAACCACAGGCAGTAGACCAGTGGTTTTCCACAATGTAAAAATGTCTGCTTGTGGAAAAAAACAGCTCTGAGGGCATTGGAAAGCTGCAGTCCTGAAGCTGAGGGAATTCCTCCCAACCCGGGGGAGTTTCACAAGCTCAGTGGAATTACAGCAGGACTCACTGTGATTTATGTATTTATCTTTTCAAGATGCTAATGCTCAGGGAAAATACAACAGCTGAGAAATAGTAATGTAAACTGTGTAATCACTGTGGATAAAAATATGCAGTTTTGGCATGTGTACGTATTTGTCTTCATTGAGCTTATGAGGAGACCTGATTTTTCCTTCTGCCCTCTGTGCCAGTTACTGCCTGTTTGTGTTCACCTCGATTCCAACCCAGAGAGTTTGGCTCTTGAGAGCTCCCAGCATCGCTTGGTCCCAGTCTTCCGAGAGGTGACCCTTAAATATGGTGGTGATTGCTATCAAGTGTTGTCAGTAAGGTCTTACCTGTATTCTCTTTTCTTCTAACTTCTGGGAAAAGTAGGTTTTATATAGAAGATGATTAAATAGTTGATTTAAATATAATTTCAAGAAAAAAAAATACAAAAAAGCAAAACAAGCAGGTTTAGATTGTATTATTTGCAACATCAAACCCTGAATACCAGATGTTACACCTTTCAAGAGGTGATCAGTTAAAGCGTGGGGGGCTTCTTTGCGTGTTGGTTTTACATTCTTCCTGGGAAGAACAAAGCATCTCTTGGAAAGCTAAACTTCTGACAGGTTCTGCACCAGGCTGGGCTATTTTATTTCTTATTAAACTCAAACCTGCTTTGAGTTTAATCTGTTTTTCACCTTCAGATAACGTATAAGATGGAATTTGGTTTTATTACTTAATCATTTCTGTTGCTACATGATGAGGGAGTTACGAGACTTGTGTGGGAAGCTGGGTCACGTCCCCTGTCGCTGGGGGCGGTTATGGAGGTGCCAGTGGCGGGTGCAGCAGACGGCGATGGCCGTCGGTAGCAAACTGTGGCACAATGCTTGCACGTCCCCACGGCTGCGCTGGTGCAGGCAGGGCACGGACCTGGAGACCAGGCCGTGGAAATGACCCACGTAAAAAGCTGAGCGTGCTGTGTGCGTGCACACGCAAACCGGCAACGCTAATGTCAACGTTGGGCATTTCCCAATGCGCTTTCCTTTCTGAACAATTGATAACACAGTGCTAGCGACAGTCACAGGAGTGTTTGTTTTACTAAAAAGTTCCAATGAGTTTAAGAAACTTAGGCCTGTTGTTAATTCAGTTATCTTCCAAACCAAGCATTCTGATCAAAGTGCAATTACAGGAATGTTTGAGAATTGTACAGTGGCCTGAAATGTAGAAAAGTGCTTCTATTATCACAGAGTGTCAGGTCTTAATTTTCTGAGTGTTTAACTGGACCATGCACAAGAGCAGTGCATGTTAAACTGAAAAGTAATATGCAAATTAGTTTGAAATTTCTTCTGATTTTCTTGAAATGAGCTATAAATTTAAGCTCTTAGTTCACTTTCAGGAAGTCAGATAGCAAATGGCTTTCAAGCAAATTTGAAGTTGTGTTCTTCATACCTATCATCTAAAAAAATAAACAAAACACCCTCCCCAGCTATTCCTTAATATATTATTAGGAATTAGATAATATAATGCTCCCAAATCATGAAGCGGTCCATGTTATTTTTACCTTCTAGCTGCAAGTAGCTCCAGCAGCCCATTGCCATAGCATATTGTGGTTTAAGGAGGCTACACATGATAGGGTTTCCTCATACTGCCAGCGTTTTGCATGGCTGAGATCACGCTCTAGTCACAGTCAATCTCTAATGTGGCTAAATTTTTGTTTAACTAGGTATTTACACTGTCTTTCACAGTATAGAAAATTAAAGCTTTATTTTTCTTCCAGTCGTTGTGACATTATTCTTTTATGTCATTTTGTTGTATATTACAAATTTTTAATGTGTTTTTGGAATACCTTTCTAATATCTTAAAAGCAATGCGAGACGTTTCTTTCAACACAATTTAATGAGGAGGAAAAAAAGGGGGGGGGGGGAAGCAGTGAGATTTATGTATAAGCAAACACTGGTCACATCTTTACTTGTTGCAGTTCCCCGGAGACAGCTGTGAGGAAATGTGACGCCTCCTTTGGGGAGCTGTTGGTTTTGGAAGGAGTAGTTGGGATCTGCATTTCTAGCACAGTCCGTAGCAAATGCCTTTAGAAATGTTTTCGCTTGGATTCACTCTTGTCTACCAAAGACTCAGTATAATGGAAGCTAGCACAATTTTTTTAAAAAGTTTTATGTTCAAGATTTAAAATAATCTGTGTGTGAAAGGGATTCTGAAATGCTTTTATCTGTGTAAATTGGCACAATGTCAGACAGCCAAAGCTGCCAAATATTAATCTTTAGACCTTGCATTTCACCTGCAGGTTTACTTGCTAGGGTTTGGTTTTTTTGTTTTAATTTTATTTAGCATCTTAGAATAACTGTAATTAATTTGGAGCCATAGACCTTCATAATAAATGTTTTAAAACATGAATTTCAAAAGAAACTGCTTTAACAGTATTAAAAGTTGGCAAATTTCTTGGTTCTGAAATCCCTGAACCACATCACTTTTCTTCCATCAGGGAATTTCTGTGGAGCCCATTGGGAAAGTTTTCCTTGCCCTTTGTGTAGCTCTGCTGGGGGCACTGACGATGCTCAGGGGCATCGATGACCTCCCCTGCTCTGTCTACCTCAGAGGGCTGCACAGGGGCTGGGGCTCCAGTGCTGCTGTACAGCTGGGGTAGATTCAAGATTTTTTGGGGAAAAAGAACCTTTTAAGAAAGTTAACCCTACAGGTATTTTTTAAGACCCCCCAAACTAATGCACTTATCAGGCAGACAGCGATCCTGGTTAGCATCCTCCTCCTGGAGGATGGTCCTGCTGGCCCTGTGGAGTCTCTCCCTGGGTCAGGGAGTCACTGGGATCATCCTTGGTCAGAGTCGGGCTGGAGCCAGAGCTGGGTGACCGCAGTGATGCTGCTCTAGAGCTGTACTTCTGTCAGTTCGTGAGGTGATTCCCTGTTGAATGGTCAGAGGGCTGGTGAGAATCAAAACATCGGTGGCAGGGTTATTTTGAGCTTTTTATTATGAAATATCAAACCAATGTAAGGAAAGGATTTGCATGGCTCAGACAAAGGTGGATCCTCCTCAAGGATGACAGTGCAGGCAATAGCTTCAGAAGGTATAGTGGCATAGGTAGCATGACAAAATTTTGTCTCATCTGCTGACCATGTGGAACGGAAAATAAACACACAACTCAATTCTTGTTCTGCTGTTCAGTAGGGGCACTTCTTCATTACATAGAAAAACAGAGGTATGTAACCAATAGAATTTTGATGTAAACTGAAGAAATTAAACAGAGCTGGACCGTGGTAAAGTGGCAAAGATGTACTTCTGCCTTTTTAACATCCCAAAGTAGAGAAAATATTTTCTTTTAACAAGGCAAAGGTACTCATCTCTAAATGATGCTCCTTGGCTACTGGGATGGAACTGATCATTAAAAATCGTTGTGCAGTTTGAAGTCAAATTTGTTGTATCCTTGTATTTGTGCCACCGGTGTCCTTGGCATCCTGAAAGTACTGGCTGCTTTTGCTTCTGCAGTTCATTACAGGAACAGGTATTACTTGGTTTTGTGGTAAGCACCTGGAAAAACGAGGAGGTCTGGCTCATTGAGCAGACCCTCATGTTGGGTCTCGGGAGGTTTCAACTGATTCTGCTTTCTTCCACATCCTCTGTTGTGTCCTAGTTGTCCTCTATGCCTGTGCTTCCAGTCATTGCCTTAGCACTGACAGGCAGTGGTGTCCCCCTGGGCTGCCTTCCAGCCACTGCCACTGAGCTTCACATGGAAGCGCATAAGGTAAGGGAGTTGAACAGCTCAGGCTGGACAGCGTGACAGTGCGAGACAGTGTCTCCTCCGAGTCAGCAGCATTCGGCTTAGCGACTTCTACAGCAACTTTACAGACTTGTACAGAGTATCAAATGGCTTTGTGGAAATTTAATCTCTGAGAGTAACTAAGGCTGTACTTAAAATACTGTTTTCCCTTGTCTTGGGCTTTAGGCTGAGGCTGCTGATTGGCTGGGTCTGATGGACCTTTCGGAAGCTCTGACGCTGATGGCAGCTGCTGAATACATCCCACCCACATCCGATGAAAACGTCACTGTGACGGACAGAGTTCAGCAACGTTGCTGTCCGTCTGTATCTGCCCAGAAAGCCATCTGATGGGCTTAGAAGGGCGGTGATCTATTTCCATGGCGGAGGATGGAGTCTAGGGCAGGCAGGTAAGCTCTTCTCTGCCCATACTGGGGGTCTGTATGGAAGATCTCAATGGCCGTTGTTAAGTGCTGCCTTTTATTTTACAGGAGAGGGTCAGGGAACTGGTATTTCACCAGTTAAAATGCACCAGCTCGGGGCAGGGTGGTCAGTGTATCTTGAGGTGGAGGGCAAAGGGTCTGGTCCAGGGCTCCGCTTCTGTCATGGTGTTTTATCTGCTGCCCCTGGCTTGGTTACATGGTGTTAGGGGGAGAAAAGGACAAAACTGAGTATCTTAATACGGAAAAGAACATCCACGTAGGGGTAAAAATCAAATGGAGATGCAGAGACTGGGGGTTTCCTTGGTTCCCAGAAGCTTGATTCTCAGACACTTCCTCATACTTCTTGCTTGGGGAAGGTCGGGGGTATTTATTGTCTCCTGAAATCTGTTTTAGGGAGTTTTGCCATATCAGAATTCATCTATTACTGCATCTTTTTCTCATTAATGTGCTCCTAGGCAGGCAAGTGTAACCAAAATCAAAGAAACACAATTGCGCTATCAGTGCTTATCTGATGCTTGTTGTTTTTCCATGTTATGCCCAGAGGGGCTTTCTAAAATGTTTTAGTTCAGTGTGCCATGCTTTTGCTATTACTTTTTCATGGGAATGATTCATCTTCCCTTCCAGTTGCATTCTCCCCTAGAACACATCTTCTGCTTCTCTTTGCTGCCATTCAGTGCTTTACATAAATGGATATAAGTTATCATCTTGGCCATCACCCAAACTGGCATTTTGTGTAGTAGGTATGGCTGACATTCCCAACAACCAGTCCATAGCTTCAGTTGTTGGACTGCTTGTTTCAGGGAGAACGAGCCAAAATATTTTTCCCGGGCAAGCTCTTTAATTTTGGTCTGAATGTGTATGTGTAGCCGAGAGCTTGATCTGGCCCCTGGTGTACATCTTGTTTCCATTTTTCTCTGCCATAAAAGCTGAGCTTCCAGGACTTTGTATTGTGTAGTGCTCAGAAGTGTAAATAATGTATTTTGCCCACCCTTTTGGGTAGCATTCAAGCAATGGTTGGATTACTTCTTTTCAGTTTGTGCTTCTGGCTAAACCCGCGTGTGCTGCACTTGCGTTGTGCTGCTGCAGAGGCACAGGCGGGTGGAGGCTTTGGAAAGTTCACCTGAAAGCTTCTGCAAAGAGGAACATGCTGTCGTGTATCTGTTTGTTCTCAAATGTGCTGGAATATATTCTGACTCGTTTCATTTCAGGCACGAAATCCTATGATTATCTGACAAGATGGACTTCAAACAGGTTAAATGCTGTCGTGGTATCGGTCAAGTAAGAGATTCTCCTTGATGGGTTAGGAATAAATTAATCTATTTCAATTAACCTAATTTTGCGATATCTTTTTTTGATCATGTGCTTTCCTGCTAGCTTTAAGTATTTGTAAACAAAAGCTGTCAAGGTTGCAGTGGTGAGTTGTGGGTGGTGGTTATTTTGGATATTGCTTTATGAAGTTGGGTGGGTAATAAAATACTTGATCCTCCGGGATAGACAGTTCCCATTTTGCTGGGCACAGAAAATAATAAACACTCACCAACTAAGGCAGATGCTTTCTCTATAAATAGCAGGAAGTAACACACTTCTACTTGCCTCTAACAGTTACAGGTTGGCACCTAAATACCATTTTCCCGTTCAGTTTGAAGATGTGTATTCTGTAACAAAGTCCTTCCTCCAGAGCAGTGTCCTCTCCCAGTATGGGGTGGACCCAGATCAGGTCTGTGTTGCAGGAGACAGTTCAGGTGGCAACTTAGCTGCAGCTATGGCACAACAGGTAAAAAAAAAAAAAAAAAAGCTGGTTTGCTAGCTCTTTTTTTTTTTTTGTCATTTCATGATCTCTTACAAAAGGCTAACAAAAACCTCTGCTCAAAGTAAGTGCACCTCCCAAATGTCTCTTGTGGTCCGTGTACACAGGACATCACGCAGCCTGTAGGACTGTTAGTGAGGGCTCTGAGTTCCCAGCCCAGCAAGTTCACTTGAGCTATTTAATGGCATCAAAGTAGCTTTGATGCCATGATGTTCTCCAGCCTTTATACCCTAAAAAAAGGCGCTCTGCCCTACAATTAGGGCATATATCACTCTATCCTTAAGCACATTTTGACTGGTTTAGGTATGTTGTTTGAAAAGGGAATTTGAGCAATTTGACTCATCTACATGTAAACAGCAGCAAAAAAATAAGAGGACTAAATGTTCCAGTGTCATTTGATCACACACCGTTTCAGTGCCTTTTGCACTTCTCACTCAGGTTTATTAAATAAAGTCAGTGCGATGTTGTTGCTCTCTTGAGAAGTTACTTGGATTGTAATGAATCTCACTTGGAAAGGCTGTGAATTTGCTGTGGATGCTGAAGGCAGAAGATGAGGGAGAAGGTGGAAATTTATGAGCGAAGAGGGAAAAAGGATGACACATAAGAAATATCAGTGTTCAATTAATCACATCTTATTTTTCACATGTCTAAAGTGCACAGAATCGTAGTTGTTCGAGTTCTAACACCTCAGGGTTAAAAAAAAAAAATCAAACAGATGGATAAGCTCTAAATTGTGTGAAATGGTTAAAGAAGCCTCAGAAATTTGCAATTTTTAAGCTATAAGAGGAGAAATTTTCTGTAGTTATAGAAAAAGCATTTGTTACTACTTCAGAAAGCATCAATGCTTCAAAAAGAGTATTTTCTTGTTATCCTTCAAGATCAGAAATAAAATGAAATTATATTTGATGTTTGAGAATTTTTAATACAACATACTGCTTTAGGTGACCTGCCTATGAATTTAGAATTTCCTTAAATTAATCTATCCTAGTTTTATTGATGATCTTGTTTTGCTTATGTTGTAAAATGTGCGTCTTAATTCCTTACTTTTAAGATCTTATGTCAGTGTGGGAGAAGCAACACTTTTTAACTGACTTTTTGTAATTATTTCTATTTTCTTCTACAGCTGTGAGAGGACTCTGAAGTCAAAACTAACCTCAAAGCCCAAGCTTTGCTTTACCCTGTTCTTCAATCCCTTGACCTGAATTTGCCATCTTACCAAGAAAATGGAAACGAGATCATTTTACCCAGGTGGCTTACGGTCAGGGTCTGGAGTGGGTATTTCACTTCTGATCCATCTCTTAGGGAAGCGATGGCCTCCAACAGGCATGTCCCGGTTGAATCGAGCCACTTGTTTCAGTTTGTAAACTGGAGCAATTTGCTGCCTGAAGAGCTGAAGAAAGACTATGTTTACACCAGTCCCACCTACGGAAGCTCTGAGCTTGCACAGAAGTACCCAGGGTTTCTGGATCCGAGGGCGGCCCCACTGCTGGTGAGCGATGCCCAGCTACGCGGGCTGCCCCTCAACTACATCCTCACCTGTGAGCACGACGTCTTACGGGATGATGGATTCATGTATGCTGAGCGCCTCCGGGCGGCGGGTGTTCCCGTCACGCATGATCATGCCAAGCGTGCCTTTCATGGGGCAATGATATTTGTCTTGAGTCCAACCGACTTAGCTGTAGGGCACCGGCTGTTGAACAGATATATCGAGTGGTTAAATGAGAATCTATGAGTTGAAAATGTTGCTCTAGTATGCCTAACTTGCATTCACTGGGTGCGATGGAGGAGCGTAGGAGAACAGGAGCTATGTGAGTTCTTGGGCATGGTTGCTGTCTTCGTTGTGTTGCCCCGCAGTGTCTGGACTGAGCGTTTTTCATTTTCTCTGGCAGCACAGTTCAAGGGAAGCACTTGAAAACCAAATGGGACGGCTGTAACACAGTGCAAATGTTGTTTTGTTGTTGTAGTTTTGGTTGTGTGTTTTGTGTGTTTTTGTTTTTTCTTTTTTTTTAAAGCATCTGTCTTACTCAGTAATTACTTTCTTTAATCCCTGTACTAGAAGGAAATAGTGTAACAAAACAGCACTGGATATTAATCAGATAAAGGAAGACTGTGAAGGTCCTAGCCTTACAATAGCACTGTTGTATGTTTTATGCTCTACTTCAAGTTATGTATCCTGTGTTCTAATTATCCTTAAAATGTTTAGCAGTTTTTACATACAAATTTTTAAAAATAAAGTTAGCTTAGTAGCCTTACAGGCTTGAAGAAACACAATTCAGCTGTCAGTCTTAAACAAATATCCTTATATGAAAGTTTTGTGTATTAAATATAAACCCTAAAAATTTTGAATGATGAATGCACGCATTGGTTGGCTATTGGTTTTAAATTGACCACAACACACCACAAACATGTACTTCTAGCATCCTGCTTTTTTCTGTTGCATAAAAGATACTGAATCTTCAAAAATTCTGGGTTTTTTCTGTGTGTGCGCAGCCTGTTTAGATGGAATGTATACAGAATGATTGCTGTATTTTTCTTTTTCAACTTTATTATGTTGAATATAAAAATTAAACTTCGATTCAAATCAATGTAATTTTTGTCACTCAAGTATCCCATTTATCGGAAAGGAATAACAAGTTGGCTTTAGTACACACAGTAGCTATTGCAAGCAACCAGGACCAAACCCAGGGAGATGTTGATTTACTTCTGCTATTATCGTTAATATGAATACTTAGTAATACTCGACTGTGGTTGTTGAGGAGAGAAACAAGAAGCGGTTGAGTAGGTGTCTTTTATCAAGAAAAGGATGGTGAAGCTTGCGACTGGGACGGAGATCAGTGGGGAGCTGAGCCTGGCCTGGCTGTGGGGAGGGCTGGGCCAGGGCTCCTGCTTGCCCCACGAGACAAGGTCAGAAAATCGGGTTTAGTGTTGCAGCAGGAGCATTCTGTGTGTCTCCTTCTGTAATCCATCCTTGAAATGGCGAGTGCCTTACTGCCAGCATACCAGGATTGAAATGTACTATGGGACTCAAAAGCATCTTGTATAGCCCACATACACAGCAGTGCAATGTGCTTGCATGTTTGCACATCCTCAGGACATATGTGTGCTCGTACAAGCTCCCAGCATATTTGGGAAGTTATTTCTCATGGCATGCTCCATAATGCTGCCAGCAGGTCCTGGCTCTTGCCCATGGGACTGGGCTCATATCTGCTGGCAGCAGATATCTCCGCTGTAGTTTTAACTCTCTCTCATTTGGAATTAAAGTATTCCTGAGGAAGTAGAGACTTGGGGTTTTGCCTCAGTAACACCTTTGGTCCGACTTTTTATACAGTAATATGGTCATGTCCAGAAGAATATTCCTCAGGTTGGGTATTTCCAATGCTGTAAACGCTAGCAGGGTGAACCGAGTTGGCCTTTAGTCACTGTCAGTGATCCTTTCTGTGAGTTTTACAGGCTGCTTTATTCTTTCTTCCATATAAATGGCAGAAAAAGACTTGCTTAAAAGAACATTTGGAGAGGACAGTTATTTTGTTTGTGTCGAGGGGACGTGTACAAAGCCGGGATATGAAAGCAGGCATCCCTCAGCGGGTTACATTGCTGTCACAGATATTGGCTTTGAGTCTTCTCCTTCCCTGCAGGCACTGGGACACCACTGATAAAGCGGCATTAGTCTTGTTGAAGTGTTGGGCACAGCTCATCCATCACTCAGCTGGTGACAAGGACTAGCACAACAAGCAGGAGGGCGGTTGTTCCTGGTAGACTGAAGAGCTGGGCATGCACGGGCTGGGGCTGGGGCAGCCCAGGTGGCCTAAAAGCACCGTAGGATCTGCCCTGTGTGCACAGGGGAGGCTTTGGCTCCTTTCAGGGGGTGCTGGAGATGCCGGGCAGCACCCGGCCTCTGCCAGCAGAAAGCGTGTCAGCCCAGCAGGAGCAAACCTGGGACACCCTCCTTGTCCACGCTGCCACCAACTTGGCATTTCTTCAGTCGTGGCTCAGGCGTCGGCTACGGCAGGGACACGGGGAGCACTCGATGCCATGAGAGCAGCAAGGGGGTCTGTCGGGTGGGCACTGCTACCCCCTGCCTTTGCACCTTGAGCAGGGCCGTGGGTGCTTCCCTGACGCAGGTATTGCATGATGTGTGTGTGCAGCTCCTGGCAAAGCCCGGGGAGGGCTTTGGATGCGGGTCCTGGCATTTCCTCAGTTTCTTCAGACAAATACTCATGGAAAGCATTGGGAAGGGCTTGTCAGGGGAGGCAGGCTTGCTGATGGGATGGTTGTTGGCTGGAGAAGGGAGCCTGAGGAGGCAGCGAAGGAGGAGGTGAAGCCATGCCTCAAGGGTAAATGCTTAAATTAGTGGAGAATCTGACCAAGCAAGCATTGAGGAGATAAAGCAGTGAAGATGTTGGCAGTGAGAGGAACAGAGTGAAAGACATGTCTAGAAATGATCTTTCTTACCTTTAGGAGAGTTTTATAGCTGCAAGGTAGTAGAGAAATTTATGCTCTAAGCAAAAATGCTAACACTATTACCAGTTTCCCCCTGCATGCATGTTTTTATAGGACTCTGCTTAGAACAAGAAGTAAATGTCTTTTAACCACTAGCACCTAAATATGGATTAATGGTTGATTGGACTGTATATGCTTTTGATTAAATTCCTAGAATAGACTTTTTGAGTTTGAAATGCTTGGCGAGGCACAAAATGACACACTGAAAATTGCAATGTCAGCATCTCTGGCAGGAGAGGCTGAACCCGCAGAATGCAATTTATCCAGAGCAGAAAATCGTAAAAACCACCACAAGGGAAGGCCTTGTTCTGTCTCCCAATAGACACTGAAATGAAATTTGGTGTTTGATAGTAAAAGACAAAGCTCAACCTTGCCATCATCATGGCATGGCTTAGGCAGTGGTGTCTGGATTGGGGAAGGCTGCTCTGGCGGGGGCCGCGCCGCTCTGGCCTGCCACTGCCGAACCCCGCCTGCCAAACCTCGCCGAGGCT